AGCAGGGCCCTGAGGATCTATCTTATCTAAAAGCTATCATTGCTTCTTGTAAATTTTGTCAAACTTCTAAAACTACCTCCTCGGCATCACTTTTTTTTTTTTTTTTTTTTTTTGTCCACTCATCAAGCCAGGGATGGGCTGCCAGCTTGATTTCACCTGTACACTCATCATCAGATATTTCAAACACTATTTAGTTTTAGTAGATTGACTCTTAGGATAGATAGAGTCTTTCCAACCTCTAACATGAGATCAAACAGGCAATCTCCAATGCTCTTCTCCTGAGAGAAGCCACCATTTTGGAGTTCAAACCTCCTTTCAATCAAATAATGGGCCTGACACATCTCTCAATATCCCACAGTGTCTCTGTATCCCTTATCATCTCTAGTCCTTAAACAAGGTTAATCACTCTCTCAAAAACATTCTTATCAAGCTCTCTCAAGAAACCCCATATAGACTGGATAAAACTCTTACCCTTGGCTTTTCTGTGACTGAAAGCCAACCCAAATAAATGTCTTTCTGTATTTCATTTTGAGCTCATGATTTTTACATGGTCAATTTTGCCTCCAGGTCTCATGTCTTGACTGTTACTTCTACCCTACCACTTTCTAACCCCCTTATTATATCATCTCATTATGTCATACCTTCTTCTGGAACTTCAGCCAACGCTATCTGTCTCAACTTCATCCTGACCCCCTTTACTCCCCAACTAACATTTCCACTTCCTGGTTCCCAATGGCTTATAGTCGTATCATAATGCAAAATTTATTCAGTTCAACTTCAAAAAATCCTATGGTCTACAACAGTCTCAAACTTATTTAAAAGTCTAAAGTTCAAAGTCTCTTCTGAGAATCATGAAATTTCTTACCTGTAATCCCATGTAAAGTTAAGATCAAAAAGCAAATTATATACTTCAATCATATAATGTGCAGGGTATACATTGCCATTCCAAAATGTAGGGGAGGGAGTATAATGAGAGAATGTTGTACTAAATCAAGACAAAAAACCAGCCAGACAAAATCCAAATTCTGCATCTCTATGTCTGATGGCAAAGAGCTCTTCAGTTCTCCTACTGCTTTGAGCTTTGTTGACTGCAACATACTTTTTTCTCTTGGGATGGTTCCACTTCATGTTAGCAGCTTTTCTTGGTAGGTATCCCATGGCTCTGGCATCTCCATTATCTTGGGATCTTCAAGGTAATCCAAGCTTCAACTTCACAACTTCAAGCAATGGTCTTCATAGGCCCTCAGGAACCTTCCTTAGTCCAAAGAGCAAATTTCATAACCCCTGTATTCTGTCCTTAACCCTAAAGCCAGAACCACATGATTGAAGCTCCCAAGTACTCTCTGCTGCTTTCTGGGGCTGAAACATATCCTTGTCATTCAAATATATCTTCACCAGCTTTCTCTTCAGTGGTTTTTTTCATTGTCTAAACTTAGCCATTCTGGAACTTGCTCTGTAGACCAGGCTGTCTTCAAACTCAGTTCTCTGTCTTCTACATGCTGGGATTAAAGGTGTTCATGGGTGTGTGTGGGTTAATATGAGGATTTTTTATTTGTTTCCACTGGTTTACTTTTATGCTAATTCCAAGCTGTTTTCAGGACTATAGCTCTATAGTAGAGCTTAAAGTCAGGGATAATAATACCTCCTGAAGTTCCTTTATTGTACAGGGTGTTTTGGGCTATCTGGGTCTTTCATTTTTGTGTATAAAGTTGAGTATTATTCTTTCATGTCAATAAAGAATTGTGCTTGGAGTTTGATGGGGATTGCATTGAATCTCTAGATTTTTTGGGGGGGGGGTCAAAATTGCCATTTTTACTATGTTGACCCTACCTATGCAAGAGCATGGGAGAGCTTTCCATTATCTGGTATCTTCTTTAATGTCTTTCTTTAAAGACATAAAGTTCTTGCTATATCGTTCTTTCAATTGTTTGGTTAGTGTTATCCCAATATATTTTATGTTGTTTGGGGCGTCTGTAAATGTGATATTTCTGTGATTTCTTTCTTAGCCCCTTTATCCTCTGTATAAAGTAGGGCTACTGATTTTTTATTTAGTTAATCTTGCATCCTGCCAATTTGCTGAAAGTGTTTAATCAGCTGTAGGAGCTCCCTAGAGAATTCTCAATAGAGGAATCCACACTTAAGAAAATGCTCGACATCCTTAGCATCAGGGAAATGCAATCCTAAACAGTTCTGAGGTACCATCTTACTCCTGTCAGAATGGCTAAAATCAGAAACATCAATGACAACATATGCTGGAGAGGATGTGGAGAAAGGGGAACACTCCTCCACTGCTGGTGGGAGTGCAAACTTGTACAGCCATTTTGGAGATCCATTTGGTGGTTCCTCAGGAAATAGGAAATCGGTCTACCATAGGGCATGGCAGTTCTACTCTTAGGCACATACCAAATGATCCGTATCCATGTAACAAAGACATCTGTTCAACTATGATCATAGCAGCATTACTTGTTATAGAAAGAACCTGCAGGCAAACTAGATGCCCCTTAACTGAAGAATGAATAAAAAAGATGTGGTACATTTACACAACAAAATACTACTCAGTGGGGAAAAAAAACAACGGAATCTTGAAATTTCCAGGCAAATAGATGGAACTTGAAGAAACCATCCTGAATGACATAACCCAGTCAAAAAAAAAAAAAAAAAAAAAAAAAAAAAAAGGCAAATGTGGTGTGTATCACTCATACATGGATTTTACACATAAAGCAAAGGATCACCAGCCTACAATTCCCACCTCCAGAGAAACTAGGATTCATATAAGGTCCCTCACAGACGGTAAAAGGGACAAGATCTCCTCAGCATATTGGGAGCTTGAGAGGGAGGCAGTGAATGGAGAGGGAGTTCAGGGAAAGAGAAGGGGAGAAGAATATGTGGAACCCGGAGGATTGAGTAGGAAGAAAGGAGCAAAAAAGAGATACCATAACCAAGGGAGCCATTATAGGTTTGAAGAGAAAACTGACTCTAGTGAAATGGTCCAGAGACCTACAAGGATGACCAAAACTAACAATCTGAGCAACAGTGAAAAGGCTACCTTAAATACCCTTCCCTGATAATGAGATTGATGACTAACTTATCCACCATCATAGAGCCCTCATCTAGTAGCTGACAGAAGCAGACACCCACAGCTAAACATCAAGCTGAACTCCTGGAATCCAGTTGCAGAGAGGGAGGAGTGACAAGAAAAGGGGTCAAGAGTAGGCTACAGAAACCCACAGAGACTGCTGACCTGAACAAACAAGAGCTACTGGACCCCCAGAATGATAGCTGGGAAACAAGCACTGCACCAGACTTATAGGTGGAAAACCAGCATTGGATTGACTCAGACCCCCCTGAACATGTGTCTCAGTTAGAAGGTCTGGGCAATCTACAGGACCTCTGACAGTGGAATCAGGATGCATCCCTGGTGAATGAAAGGACTTTGGGAGCACATGCCCCATGGAGAGATACTCCCTTAGCCTAGAGAAAGGGGTGAGGGCCTAGACCCTACTCCAAATGACTTGACAGCTTCTGATGATCCTTCCTGGAAGACATTACCCTTCCTTTGTCATGGGTGGGGAATGGGATGGGAGAGAGGTTGGTGGTCTTGGGAGGGAGGGAAGGAGTGAGAGGGAACTGGTATTGATATGTAAACTAAGAGAAAACAATAAATAAATAATAAAAACCATTTAAGATAATCATTTATAAATTCTATATTTAGTCAATTCACATTTAATTGTAGCTCATATTTGACATATCATGTTGACTTATATAAACAGAATAATTTCATACTTAGTGGAGATGTACTTAGTAATACTATGTGAGATGAAATACTGTGACCCACATTTTTCTTCATCTGGTTGCATAGTATAATTCACTGATATCAAAAAGTTTAATGCAGAAAATGGCTCTTAGAATTGAATTGCATGTTTTCAAATTAACATTGATGGTAGTCTTAATATTTGCTTTCTTTTCTGTAAATTATGTACTTACTTGTAATGGACAATCAATAAAACTTCATTAAGGAACAAATATATTTGATGACAATTAGGTTGCAATAAGATGATGAATATTATTTTCTACATGCATGCCATACAATTTTACACTTCCTCTTCTACTCATTGCTTAACAATAATTTTATTTGATTTACAATTCCAGTTCCCAAACATTTTATACAGAATTTGAACATTGTTGTAATTTTTAAAAAAAATGTAATATGCTTTAATACTCTACACTGATGCACAGCACTTTTTAAACCAGTTGACCTTTGGTAAAATGCCAATCTTGATTATACTGAAAATATGATCAGCATTTGTCAGACTTAGTGATTATGAAGCCAAGAAAAAATGAAACATGAAACTCAGTGATATTGTGGTAAACCACAGATTATTGACTATAGCTAAGTCACATCATAAAACTGTCATTCAAGCCTGGGAAAGAGAACTAACGTGCCTTATCTAATTTTTCCCTGAGTGAAGTATGTGGGACTATCTGACAACTGTCTTTTGACAAGTGATATCAAGTGAGCCTTTGTTTTCCTAAAAATAAATTGCTTGGGTGATATTTTTGTTGAACTTTTCTTCAGTGAATAAATAAACAATATGTAACTATTTTGGGTTAAGCATATACTAAGGATGATATAATACACACTATGGTAAAGACTTGGTTCAAATATAAATAAAATATAGACCTTAATAAAGGTAAATAATTCTGTATAACTAGAAGGAGCAACATAGTCATAAGCTCTGTTAATCTTGATAAATATTATTAGATAAAGATAGGTGGAATTCCTCACAAGACAAATAATTTAAAAAAAATGTAAAGGACTTAAACTATGAAATGTTTGATATATTATTGCCTAGAAATGTAGGTATTTATAAGCCAGCCATAGACCATTATTGTTAAGGGGAAATGACCCTTAATATTACCAGAAGAGAAATAGTGACCTGAACCCTGGGAGCTATAGAATTTAAAAATAAAAATAATATTTGCATATATAAAAATATAGGGTGCTTACTTCAGTAGCACATATACTAAAATTAGAATTATACAAAGAAGATTAACTTGGTACATTATCAAGGATTACAGGCAAGTTTGAGAATTGTTCCATATTTTTAAATAAATAAAACTGTTCAAGATCTGAAAGTGTAAATAGAACCAATAAAAAAACCCAAACTAAGGGAAAACTGGAAATGAAAATTTATAAACCCATACAGATTCCTCAGAGGCAAGCTTCCCCAACAGAATACAAGAGAAAGGAGAAACAATTTCAGTTACTAAAAACATGACAAAAAGATAATGGATTCCTCAGACAAAGAAGTGTTATAGCAAAAAAAAAAAAAAAAAAAAGTTCTGGCACAGAATATCCAGCATCCAGGAAACCAGGGACATTAAAACAAGACCAAATCTTCAAATAATAGGATAGAAAAAGTATCAAAAGTCAAAGGTACAAAACATATTTTCAACAACATTACAGAAGAAAATTTCAAACAAAAAGGAGATGCCTACAAAGGTACAAGAAGCATAGATAACACCAAATACATTATATCAGAAAAGAAAGTCCCCTTGGCATATAATAATGAAGACCATAAACATAACAGAACTAAGAAAAAAATATTAAAAATTCTGGGGAGTGTAGCGGGGAAACGAGTAGCATATACAGGCAGAACAGTGAAAATAGCACTTGACTTCTTTACAGAGACTCTGAAAGCCAGTAATTCTACATAATCTAAGAGACCAGGAATGCCTGGCCAGATTATTATAACCAGAAAAAAAATTTCATCACAATAAATGGATAAAATAAGACATTCCAAGAAAACAAAAATTTAAGCAATATCTGTCTATAAATCCAGCCTTATAGGAAATCCAGGAGAAAAAAACTCCCACCAAAAGAGGTCAACTACATACAAGAACACACAAGGAATAGATAATCCCAGGGATCAAATACAAAAGGGGAGAAACACACACACATACCACCACCACTACCACCAAACAACAACAAAATAACAAGAGTCAACAAATCAATTCTACTCATGTCCATTTCCCCAATAAAAAGATGCATACTATGAGATTACATGTATCTCCTCAAAACACACCATAACATCAAGGATATATATGAACTCCATTAAATCTCTCCCCTCAGAGTTCTATTAACCCCAAAAAAGTGGAGGCAGAAAAAGTGTAAGAGCCAGGAAGAACAGAGGACATCAAGGAAACATGGCCATTTAAATCAACAGGATAGAGGTCCATATGAACTCAGAGGTTAAGGTAAGGCAACATGAACAGGGCCTGCATGTGTTTACAGAGAAGTACACACATGTCCCCATGTCTAATCTGGAAGAAAGTTCCACATGATAATCACTTGAAAATGAAAATTTAATTTCCTCCAAGGAAGTCTTGGTGGGGAAACAATTGTCTCTTAAGAGTAGGACTCTTACCCAGCAGCAAATGGCCAACAGAAAACCAACTCAACAGTACCTTTACAGGTTCCTTCTCTCATAATATCATGTCAGAGCTTTTACTTTTTCATTTTTAATTTTATCTTATTTTTACTTTTATTTTATTCATATTTTACTTCTCTTTTTACCCTACAGGTTCTTTGAATATATATTATATCTTCCAGTTTAATGTTTTTATGAGATTCCTGAATGTGCAATCAAGTAAATTTGCTTCTTGCAACTTTTCTTTCTATTTGCTTTGTCCTATTCTGATGTTTTAGTTTTTGTAGTATTTTTTAATCCCTTATAAGTCTTTCTATTAAAAGACACAATTGGGGGTGGGTGTAGATACAGATAGAAGGAAAGTAGGGAGGATCTAAGAGGAGTACAGGGAGAGGAAAACCAAATCAAGATATATTATCTGAAAGGAAAAAAAATCTATTTTCAACAAATAGAATAATACATAGATATTGCATTTTAAATTTACATTCCACATTGTAAATTAACCATAAGAGAGTTTTGGATATCTTTCAAGGTCCCTTATACAATCATATGGGAAAAGTCTTTGGAGAAAAAAAAATCATTTAGAGTATGGCATTGTATCTACAGTAATTTTAAGTCTTCAAAAATATTCATTGTATTATATAAAATTAAAGGGAAAATAACCAGTTACAAGAATTATTTGGGATTTGTTTTTTTCCAATCCAGAACACAAACAAGTTTACAGATACACCTCTCCTTTATAACTTAGGTGATTACTGCCAGTAGTCCCACAAATAGGAAATCCATGGACATTAGTCTTTTATTTAAAAGAATATTGCATGTTACCTGTGTACACTTTCCTTTGTCCTTTCTAGCTGTCCCTCTTTTTCTGATGCTACCTGTGTCCATGTATTTGTTTTATAAACATCTGTCACACTCAGAAGGAAGAAAAGTACAGTGCTTAGCTTCCAGTTTTCATATGAATATTTTCCAAGGCAAGTTTCTTCCATTCTAACAGAAAAGCTTACTTTTTAGCATTCTACCATTTTTCAAAGTAAATTATGATAAAATGAATCACCTTCAATATTTATACTTTCTTAATATTAATTCACTTCGATGTGGTGAACAGTGAAATCCTGATTATTGTGAATAATTGCTATCCATTGAGGCCGCCTTAGAATATGGGCAATCCGGGCATCAAATGTACTCTACAAGCAAGTTAAGGAAGAGTCTGTTTGTGATGCCTGGAATTGAGCAGCTGTCACTGATATTCAAAGAAACTAAGGTGTCATGGAGACAAAAGAGAAAGAGATTAAAATACTAGTAAAATGTCTCTAGTACTCAATTTAGCATCTTTCTCAACAGGCTGAACTCTTTTCATGAGAGAAGAGACTCAATACTTAGGCCAGGTGGACTTGAGCAGTAGCCAAACTTATGTTGCATAATGTAACATAAGTGTCAGCTTATTACTGTGAATAAATCCTTTCTGTCTTCATTGTGTTAGTCATATAAAGTGCCACCAGAGCTGTTTCTTTTTACAAAAAAAAAAAAAAAAAAAAAAAAAGGGAGGGAAATGAAAACTAACTGAGCCTTGTGTACAGAAATTATATTACCAAACAGCCCCTGCTTGTTTAACTTTCATAAGATCAGCTGATCAGTATTCATGTAACAATTCATTGCCCACTTCATTTTACTTTTGTCTCAGCATTCTTAGTTCTGGACTAACTTCAATTTATTTAATCACTATTCATAAACCACATTTCCCTTAATCATTTTCTGTATTGTATTAGACTCTTTCATTTTGTTCACATTCATCGTAAAATGTAAATATTGACAAAGAAGGAACTTAAAATAGGTAAAACAATTTTTTTATAATTTTATAATTTTTTTATAAATTTTAACATAATCTTAGCTTGTCAAGAGAAAAATCACAAAGTTCTGCTGACTTTCTATAAGTGCCATGGGTGTTGAAGAGGCTAGAATTGTCTATCAACTTTCCATTAATTAATGAGCTTACGCATTTTGAACCTATAAGAAAGTCAACCCAGAGAAGATTTTTCTGAAGAGGAATAAAAGGGATGATTTTAAAAACATCATTTTTGAATGCATTTGTCCAGTGAGTAGACTTAACAAATAAAACCAAGAATTTAGTAAGTATCTTCTCCCACACGGTATTGGCTAATAGTTTAATAACTTTCCTATAATTTAACAGTATTTATTGTTACTATATAAAGTTTGAAAATTTTATAGGATGGTGGTGCTATGAAATAAAGTTATTTATTTCATTGTTTTAATAATTTTTGGAAAATAAAAGATGACAGGGTAATTAAACATTTAAGAAAGTGTCCATCTTGAAAATATACATATTTATGCCATTCTCATGTGAAATGTGTTTTTATTTAGTGCATGCCTCCTTTCTTTATTTTTCAAGACTATTGGACAGTGCTTAATTATACTTATAATAACAAAGAAATAATCCCAGGAGTCTTGTTTAATTTCTGTGTTATTAGCAGCACATTTACCAGGTTTTAGATAACTTACATATAACAGTATTTAGTGTTTCTGAATTATGTATTACAAAGCAGACATTAGAGTCTGAGTTACAGATTAATTACACTGAATTTCTTATTTTGTAATTTAATGAAACAAGTTTCAAAAGCAAAACATGTATCCACTATGATGTAAAGCCTAAAAATAATCAAAATTCTAGAAAGACAACTTCATCAATGGGATCACAGTACTTAGATTGACAGGATTTCATTTGATAGCCTATTTAGAGCTCTAAAAAAAAAAAAGGCCCTAATCATTTATGCACAAAACAGAAAATTATGAATTATGCAAGTATCTGTATGTCTGAATGTCTGAAATACAATGTATAAGTATGTTGTATTGAGGCAGATTATCTTTAATAATGAATCAAAAAATATTAGATAATAATACCACTACTAATTTTGTTAGTTTCAAAGATAAAGAGGTAGTTTAAACTCTGAAGTAAAATATGTGAATATATGTGTATTTTATTACTGATATATTACAAATACACTACTCTAGGTTATAGCCTTGATTCAATAAGGGAATATCAAATTACAATTTCATTATTAAGAATAGAATAAACACAATTTTCCATATCATTATTATATGGAGAGATTTTTGATGGATGTGAGAGTCTTTCAAAACCTTTGTTATAGTAATTAGCCTCCTTTGGATGGCAAAGGCCCTCTCCACAGCTGGACATTCCTATTACATAGTGTGAAAGTTTGAAACATCTTTCCAGGCCTAAAATTAACTTAATATACAAAAATAAGAATCATTATAATACATTCCTTTAGAAAATTTAGTTCTTAGCAATAGATAGCTAAGATACATAAGAGTATATTAGTATGGGTTTCTGGATTTTATAGACACAGCTTGCAAAATTAATTGAAAGAAGTCCAGTATTTGTAGTTATGTGTCTTTGAATTTTTGTATAACACTTAAGTGTACATATGTATATTCTATCTGACAATATGACATGGTGAATATACTTTTATTTAAAGCCACCTTTTTTAAGCTCACCAATTTCTGTCCTCTTCAAAACAGCCTTTATTTCTGCTTTATTTCATCTTCAAGACTCCTACATAAAGCTGCTCTCTAGAGCCTACCTACCAACTGCTCTGAATTTAAAACAAGGTTTAGAGTTTTCTCATGCTTTTCAGTT